TATTCTATACGATTCCTATGGAACTTGTCCAATAAGATATAAAAACATTGTTCTATCGGTATCTTTCACTATAAGACCATGCATGATATTTCAGTAGTAACATTAGTAACATATAACAGTAGTAACATATGGATACAGATATAATCCGAATTCAGACAGACAATGGGAAAAATACAAAAAAAAATGAAACTTAAGAAACAAGAAACTTGAATAATAAATACATTGAATACATTTTTTGTATTTTCATTATTTGTTAATCTATATATATATAATAATAAAACGGGAAAACTATAAGTACACTCATTGCACGCACTCATTTTGACAAACAAAATTTCAGTTTAAAAATAATATCTCATTGCTTTCGTTATATTCACAGCATTTACAAACATTCTATAATTTACTTAAACAAAATAAATAATAAATAAAGGTGATTGTAAACTGTTATCAAACTGTTGGATTATGTAATGAACGACAGTACAGGACTTGATGTTTGATTTTAATCACATTTGTCCCTAATGTTTATAGTAATATTATTTCGAGTACTTGATTAACTTATTAGTAACGATTTTACTCAGATCAAGAGCTTTTTCACGTTATATTGCACACTATGTTGTCCATAGAATAAAACATACATTGACACCTTAGATCGAGTGCAACGCATGTTTGTGAAATATTTGTGCTAAAAATCAAATATTCAGTATGGTAGTGAAGAATATTTTTCTCTATGTTCTAACTTTAGAATTCAGAATTTGTGCCAACACCGCAATTGCTTAGAAATGACCTTCTTGTACAAGTGTGCAAACAGTATCAATGATTTGAACTATATTCTCTTTTCTCGAAAACAGTGATTCGCTGTAATCTTCGGAAATTGGGATTTTTATTACAACTATCATTTTTAATTTTGGTGTCAGAACGGCATTTTTTAATATTTGATCTTCAGTACTTTTAATGTAAGTTGTTTAATTATTCATTTTATTTAGGATTTTATTGTTTGTATGTACCCTGTAAATAGGCCTTGTGTCCGTTAATTATTTAATGTTACCAATCATTCATTATATGTGTACAGTCACAATGCATGATATTTATTATTTTTTCTGACGCTAAAAATCACATTAATCGCCAAGATGTACTATAATATTGTTATTCAAATAACATACTATAAATGATCCAGTGAATAGCTGCAATGTGGTCTGGTTATCCACCTTCTGTGATTATGACAGCATGTTCACACTTCCTGTGACAAACTATTGGTAACGTTGACCTGTAGTTTATGATTGGTAAATCACTCTGAGTGGGGCTACCTGTAGTGCCTCTTCTGTGGTAACAGGAAGTGTCGGTATATCACATCTTAATTGTCATCCATACAATATGCCTGATATACCTGGCGTTCTATTTACTCCCTATAACGATAGTCTAGGTTGTCGACTTCAACTTCAAATCAATTTCTAGTTGTCAAACGAGGGCGCTAGAACACTGTGTCAAAAAACTACAATGTTTCAATCCACTGTTGAAAAAAAATCAGCTTTGGTTTATCTTCCTATTTTGGTACATATACATCATTGTTACTGTAGAAATTAGTCTCCCCCCAAATAAGGTGCTAGATTTCAGTGCTTTTTAAATATGTAAGGATAATGCTTTAATTACAGGCGTGCAACCTCAGTAACGATTCTTAATAATTTAACGTTTTTTTTAAATCCAAAAAATTAATTGTTTATTATTGAAGTAAACCGAATTTGTATTCTACAAACAAATGATAAATGGAATAACTAAAAAAAAACTATAAACTATCTGTAGACTTGATAGAAGATTTACCATAAAGTTCAAAGGAGCAGAAAATCATGGTTTCACAAAACATTTCAAAAATTTTATAAGAAAATTATTTTTCAGACTTATAATAGACTATTGTACTCAGAGTAAATTTTACTTTTTTT